CGGGGGTGCAGGGGCGGCCCCGCGGGCTGGGGGGGCTCGGGAGGCGCAGCGGGGTCCCGGGCGGGGCGCAGCGGGCCACGGGGCTCCGGGCGCGCTCCCCGCACTACTCCAGTGCCATGGTGCGCGGGAGGAGCAGCTCGGTTTAGAGCTGGGGCTGGCGGCGGAGGGATACTCCGGTCGGGAGCCGCCTCACCCCTCCTCAAACTTCCTGACATTTGAACTCATTGGTGCGCCTGGTATCCCTGCGCCTGGATGAGCCGGCAGCTCCACGTCAAATAGTGCCGTCGCCCCCCCTCCCCGTGGGAGGGTTCCGCGCGCCCGGGGTCTGCACCCCGCGCCGCGCCTAGTCCCGAGCGCGGGCCCTGCGCCCGGACCGGCTGTCCTGCCCGCCCCTCACAGAAGTTTGAGTCTTCCTCGAAAGAAGTCTGCCCCACCCCTCTTGAAAAATTGATCTGGGAGTTGGGAAATGAGGCTTTCTTTTTTTTTTTTTTTCTTGCCTTTTTTATTATTACTATTTTGAAAAAAAAAAAAAAGCTCCAGCGCTGAAAGGAGTGGCCCCGAGCGAGGCCAGACTGTGCGGACGGCGGGGAGCGCAGCGGCAACTCCAGGGGACGGCGCCAGCCGGGAGCGGCTGCCCGGGACCCCGACTGTCGGCTGAGGTAGGTCGCAGGGTCGGAGTTGGTATCTCTGGGACGGCGGTTCCTACCCCGGACGGATCGGTTGTCCGAGAAGGCTGGCTCCAGGGCTCCAGGGCTCCAGGGACCGAGGAACGGAGGCGGTCAGAAGGGGAGGACCCCTGTCCCCTGACTCGCAATGGGATCCCTGGCGGGTAGAAAAGGGGCTGGGCCGCGGTTGGGTGAGGGGTCCTGGAAAGCTCAGACCTGGGCAAAGATCGGTCCGGGAAGTGAGCTTGGGGTGGGGGGCTGGATCCAGAATGCGGGACGCTGGGCGGGCGAGGAAGGTCAGGCCCAGGTTCAGACCAGGAGAGTTTAAGGGGATCATTAGGGCTGGAAAACGGGTACCATGGGCTGAGGCAGTGGGCAAAGGCTGGGCCTCGCAGGATTTGGAGTTTCAGGTAGCGTGGTGGCCCCGAGAGCAAGGGATGAAGGCCGGGGACAGCGTGGGTCCTGCCACGCTCCAAGAAAATCGGGTTGACACCTGGAATAGGCGCCCTTTGGCTGTGGCCAGAGGGCTGAACAGTGCCCTGGCCAGCCTGGGCAAAGTGGGCCTCGACACCGCGGAGCGACAATCCGGTGGGACTGAACTGGCGACTCCCGCGCGCGTCGGGCCTGACATGCATGAGTTAGAAGACAACGTCGGGCCACTGGGGCACCTTCCGCCTACCACCGCGCTGTGCGCCTCCGGGCCGTGGGAGGGCGGGTGCGGCCCAGGGGCAGGGGCGGGCTGCTCTGGTGAGCCGCTGCTGGGCAGCTCTGGCCCCTCCCGGAGCCAGAGCAGTGGCGCGGAGCCGGGCGGGGGCGGAGGGCATGGGGGGGTGGGTCCCCTGACCCCGCAGGAGGCGGGAGGGCAGATCGGATTTGGAGCCTGCGGGAGGCTTGGTCAGAAGTGGCCCCCTGTGCTGCGGGGCCCCGCGGAGGGGCCCGGCTTTGTGGAGGATTAGAGGCTACCGCCCCACCCCAGTACCTGCGTGTGTGTCGGTGGGTATCCGAGTGTGTCTGTGCGTGTCGGCGCTCCCTCCTCTGAGGCTATTGCCTACGTGTGCGCCCTTGTCCCTGTGCACGCACATTGTGTGTGTGTGTGTGTGTGTGTGTGTGTGTCTCCTTGAGACTTTGCAAGATGAGAGTGTGCATGAATCTGTAGATCTTGATTTCCTTGCCGTGTGTGTGCACATCTGCGGATGTTTCTGTGCTTCTGTGTCTTGGGTGTTTTTAAACGTCTTTGTGTCCTTGTATGCCTGGGTCCCGGTGAAGATGTCTTCGCCTTTGTGTGCATTTGGGCCTCTGCAATGTGTCTGGCAGATTTTTTTCTATGTATATTTCCACCTTACCTTTGTGTTTCTGTGTTTATCCCCGAGTTCCCAAATCCTTCCGGGTCTCCCCAAAGGTTTTTTTGTGTTTGTGGCTTTGTGTTCTGTGCGTTTCTAGGCGCCTTTGTGTGTCTGTATCCGGAAGGATGTGTAAATGGATGTAGAGTTTCCCTCACATGCTATTCCTCCGTTTGTCTTTACCCAATCTGGGAACCCTTAGGTTTTGAACCCGGAGATTGGGCCTGGGCCTCCTTCTCCGGGCATCTGGGCCGGGGCGCACTGCTGCGGGAAGAAGCCGGGCGGTTAAGGCAGAGCCTGGAGGCGCCGAACCCAGCGTGGGGCCGGCGGGTGTACCGGGTGCGTTCCGCCCTCTGCTGGTCACCGTGTGACCTTGCAACTACGGCTGGGCCCCCGACTGCACACCAAAGTCCCTCGCTGGCTCCTGCAGGGTGCGTAGTAGGAGACCTTCTTTGGTCTTAGGGCCCTGAGGACGCACCCCAACCCTTAACTCCCGGTGCAGGGTTCCGTTTCAGTCCGCCTGCTTCCCCACTGCCCAGCTTCCCTGTGCCTTTCCACTTTCCCCTTCTTTTCCCTGTAGTTGAATGAAGGCCGCTATGGCCCGACCTCTGAAGTCTCCCTGATCCTCTGGCTGGCGTCTAGGACCGAGTCTGACCAGTTGGCTGTGTTTGGGATGTGTTCTGAGATATTTGAAAACAGGGTCTCGGGGCCGTGGGCACACCTGTAGCCCCCATTTAGGGACTTGATTGGTGTGTTTCCGAGATGCAGAAATTGTTGGCATCTCTCTCTTGTGAGCCTGTCCAAGTCACAGCCCGTATTACCCTACTAACGTGGGTTGGGCTGCCGAAGGCGCAGCGACTGAGTCCATTGCTCTCTGGGGTGGACAGTCGAACGAGGTTCTCTCCCTAGTCTGGTTGGGGCTGCTTAGTTCACAACTTTCATCCTTCTTGCATGCCGGTTCTCCTCTCACCCCCTCGCCCACAGGCCTTACTCTTAGTCCTTTGTCCTCGTTCCCCGAGGTTCCCAGGTTCTCAGCACAGCCACGCAGAGGCCCCAGGTGTCTCCGAAGCATCCTTAAGGTTACTGAGCCTCCCAGCCAATGCCTCTGCAGCATAGCACGACTGGACCAGAGGACAGGGGCCTAGGTTCAGAGCCCACTTCTCTTCGTGGGCGGCAAGCAGCACCTGGCTCCGCTGGATCCGAGCCGGTCACTTCTCTATCTACCCAGATTCCCTGGGCGTCCTGGGACTCACTACGCAGCGGCCTCTCGCCCGACTCGCCGTCCAACACGGGATGCTGTTTGCTGGGTCCGCGGTTTCCCGCTTGAGATGGTTTGCACCTGAGCTAAGGCAGCGGCGGCGGCTTGCGGTCCTCGCTCCTTAGGAGGGATCCGGGCTCTTCCTGTCCTCCACCACGCATCTCTTTGAGCCCTGCCTAGGGACCCCTTGCTCATCTCCTAAGGACCTCGCACCCTCTCTCCGGTGCGGTGCGACCTGCCTTGTATGAGCCGGCAGGTAGGGCTACCCGGGTGAAGCTTCTGGCCTTCTGGCCAGAGCGGATTGAGAAGACCCTCCTAGTTTAGAGCCCCAGTTGGAGTCGCAGAACCAGTTGGGATGAAGCACGAGCGCAGCCTTCCCCTGGGTGGTTACGGAAAGGACCGGTTAGGGAACAGCCAGCCCGGCCTTGCCTTTCAGCTTGGCTAGGTGAGGCAGGACCACAGAGCACCTAGGCCCACCCCAAGCTGCTCCGTGAAAGTGGGGCCTAAGATCCAGGAGAGTCGGCCAGGCAGGATCAAAATTACTCCCAGCCGTGGGCCAGGTTAGGAGCTGCTCTCCCGGAGACTCAGTAACCCCCCACCCCAGGTCCCCAGTGCAGGAGAACATGCAAACTCTGGAAGTGCAGAGGCTCAGCAGAGGTCCAGCGCTGGAAGATTGGGACCCAGGAGCAATGAGGCATCCCTTCTAGGAAACCAGGACACTGTGGGTCAAAGGGTCCATCGACCATATATAACATGGTCATTTTTCAGGCAAAAGCATCTAGGGGTCTTCCTGTGTGGGTACACGGAGCTCCCGCGATGCTGGGCCCAGGTGGAGGTCCGCAGAGGAGTAATTGGGGAGGGACCCCCCCGGGTGCTTCTCACTCTCTCCTGAGAATTTTGAGGCTGATGGGAGAGGGGTGTTGGGGTTTGCTGATGGTCAGTATGGGCTTGGAGGCACTGTGTTTGTATCCAATGTGAGCGATGAGCATCCACAGCCAAGTAAGTGGCTCAGACCTCAAACAACCCCCACTCTGGCCGCAGACTCATGATTTTTCAGCACATGGTCTGGGCCATTAGTCATGGGATTTCTCCACATGTCAAGAACTCAGGCTCCCTCAGATTCAAATGTTGTTCCAGCCCTTGGGGAGGAAGGGCTTCAAGGGCAGGGCTCCCTCCAGACTGGGTGACCCAGAGCTGAGGTCTCCCACTATCAATGGTTAACAGTAGAGAAGAGCGGGTCTCAAGGAACCCCTCAGATCTTGCTTCAGGGTCTGGCTAGGGGACCTCAGGCTAGGGGATTTATACCACCTGGCCTCAGTGTGCCTGTATGTGCATTGGGCATAATGAAGGCATCTGGTATTTCATGAGTGCTGGGAGGATGATCTGGAAAGACTCACTCTGTGTCCAGCTCACAGTAGGGATCTGAACTTAGTATTTGATGAATAATTGCATTGGAGGGGGGCTGCTACCAGGACACAGGGGACTCACACTGTCTCTTCCTCCTCCCCTTCCTCCTCTAGGGCCAGAGAGAAACATACTTGTGTCAAGTTCAGTCAGGTCTCTTCCTTCCCTTGAGGGCAGGTGAAGTCCAGGTACAGGTTATGGTGGACTGGGACTCTGCACAGGATACTCTGGGCAGTGCCTGGATGCCAAGGACAGCTTTTCCATTCACCTTATTCCGGAGGGCTGGGATTGGAAGGCATGGACTGAGTGGGCTTCAGCTCACTGCACAGAAACCCCTGTTTGGAACTCCCAAGGTGTGACATTTATTTTTACTGGATATTTTCCTTGAGAATCTCTGCCTTTCTTTCCAGATGGATGGGCTGGATGGTTTCAGCAGTCCATCCCTAACAACAAGAGGCTTCCTAACTCAGGAAAGCAGCCAGAACAAAGACAAAGCCAAGGACCATTTTGGAGTCATAAAATCCCTATTAGGACCCTAAGCATAACTCAAAGAATTGGACACAAATTCACAAAAGCCAGGGAGTTCATTGGTCTCCACCCCGAGGGGTGCATAGCTGGGGAGGGGGGCTGGGTGTGAGCTGGGACGGGTGCCTGTCCTATTTGATCTTTATCTTAAATCCACTTCAAAACTTTGCCGCTCAGCCGATTTGGAGGTTGGCCCCTTCCTGCAATTATTTGGTGTCTAGTAAAGTTTTTATGAGTGTCTGTGCAAATAAATGTAGCTGATGATGTGAGTTTGTTCGGCTGTGCTGCTCCGTGGAGGAGCTGTGTTCGCCGTGTGTTGGCCCTCACAAGAGAGAAGAGTGAAAATAAAAATAAAGCCAGGACCTCTGCATCCATCAGGCAAAGGGGTGGGGCTGGGGCTGGCCCAATGTTGACCAACAGCTCTCTGGCTTCCAGGCAGGCCGGTAGACTCCTGGGATGCTGCCAGTAGAGTCTACAGCCTTTGGGTGTGCTGTGTGGGGTGAGGTGGCAGGGTTGGTGCCATGCAGGATTTTAGAAAGTCCTTTCTGGAAACTGAAGAAGGCTTGCCTTTTTAATCTCCACTGAGTAGGATGTAAAGTCAAATGAATAATAAATAAGAGGGAGTTGGGGGGAGTTACTTTGTCCCCAGATTGTGAGCTCAGCAGATCTGCCTGGGGGGCATTGTTGGTCAGAGGCAGGCTGGCTGTCCAGCCCTTTTTGGAAAAGGCAGCTTGGGCTGGGCAGGGTGGGAAGCAGGAGTCCTGCCCATCTTCACCTACCCTTTAAAAGCATAAGCAGCCAGATCCAGGGTACCCAGGTCAGAGCACATCCTGTCACTCCTCCCTCCCTCCCCTGCAGCCGCGATGCATTTGCTTTGAGATAATTGTAGCACTTTTTTTATTGACGTATAATTGAAACATACAGGAGAATACACAAAGCATGAAATGATAAAGGGGGCACTCCTGTGATACGAACGCCCAGATTACAACAGAAAATCCTGCTGGCTTCCCAGGGGCACTGCCGGCCTCTCCTCGCCCAAGCCGCTGCCTTGCTTTCTAGCTATCTGTATTTTAGTTATTTTTGAGTTTTATCTAAGTGGCTTCATACAGTACATTTCCCCTCCCCTACTTTAATCATGACATTTTTTGTGGGAAAAGCTAATACTCTCTTCTGGGTAGGGCCCCCATTCCAGAGAGGGTCTGATAATCTGGAGCTCAATTTGCCCCCCCCCGCCCGCCTCAATTCACCTGTCACACCCCATCTGGGCAGGACACCCTCCCTGTTTCCAAAAATGCCAAGAACATTCATGTTTTGGTATTTTACTATAAACCCAAGATTTTCCCCCCAAATCTTTAATTCTCTAAAGGAATCACTGTGTACACTGGGGAAATACATCTGGAATCTTCTTTCATCTCAAGCCTTCCATCAGTGTCTAGTACCTTCTGAGACAGAGATCATGAAACCTTGTAACAGGTGGGGAAATCAACACCTCCGAGAAGTGAAGTGACTTGCTCACGGTCACACAGCCATGAAAGGGTCAGATCCTGAATTCAAACCCCAGCTGGCCTAACTCTAAACCCCAGGCTCTTGTCACCTCTCCACATGGCTCCCCTGGGCATCCAGGCCCAGGTGTGAACAGTCCCCTCCTGCCCACTTCCAGTAGGGAGGAAGCTGGACTTCTTCCAAAGGAAACGCTTGGAAATACAAAACCCCAAACAGCAAACAGGCCAGGATGGCTTCCAGGCCCAACTGCCTAACCTCAAACACTACAAGTCTGATCTACTCTGGTTTGGTCTGGACTGGTCCAGTCTCCCTAGATGTGTCAACCACCGGGTGGCACTGTGCCACTCACCAACTATCCAGGCCATGCCAGAACCTCATAGATGTCAGTCCTGAAACTCATAGTATGCTCTTGTGTTAGTCAGACCCATCTTACAGATGAAGAAACAGAGGTTCACAGAGATCCAATGTCTACCAGTTTCTAAGTGCCTGAGCTGGGTTATGACTTGCACTGAGGTCCACTCTGAGCATCCCTGCCTGGCCCCACCCTTGAGCCCTGTCCTTGACTTTCTTATCTGAGTCAGGCCCACAGTCCTGTTTTACTGGAGGTATGGCCAAGTGCCTCCTAGATGGGTACTCAGAGATTGAGTCTGACAGGCCTGGTTTGAAGCTGAGTTACAAGCACCATTTGGTCTCTGTTCCTGCATTTGAAAAGTGGGGATGATTTTACTGCTTTACATTATTTTTATTTTTAA